GGTTGGCTACACGAATCCTGGTCTGTCATTCTTGTAGGTTCAGGATTCATGATAAGTTTTGGCAAAATTTTACATTGGCTGTCTGCCTAACACAACCCAGCCCCTTTACCCGGGCATGGGACGGGTTAAGGGAAAGTTTTAGACCTTACTTTTAGCCATTGGTGTCACAATATTCGAGAATTTTTGTTTTGGACTTTATGCCCAAAGAATAACATATCCTTAACCACTTGATTTCAAATCTTACGGTCAGTGACAATTGTGACCTTCTTGCATCAAAAGTAAACGTCATAATAATGGTTAATTGTGACATTCTTGCTTCAAAAGTAAGCTTTCTAATAATGCAACAAAAAACTGAAATGTTCTAAAATCGCATACAATAGTAAGCTAAATACAAAATAGGAGCATACAGCCAGATATAGTGTGAGAAATAGGCAACAATAAAGAACATCATAATAACATGAACCGTAATAACATAAAGATATATATAGTTCACCCTAACATGAACTGTAATAACATAAAGATTTACATATTTCACCCTAAAGGGCTTACATTCACAAGCTTAACAAGTAAAATTCACTATTACAATAAATACACTGCTCTCCATTGGCACCTTCACCGATATTTCCTTCTAAATCCTCTCTCCTTTCAAAAGAATCACCAATAACCACTTGTTAATCTCTATTTATCCCTTTTTTCGACCACTAGACCGCTACAAGAAAGAGAATCATGAGAAACCAGACATATTTTCTCTAGTTCTTAGGAAAAACTAGGATTGATGATTTTTACTACAAAGAAATGTAACATCTTCGAGAACAAATATTAAGATTATTTGCCTATTCCTCACAATTTCTAAATTCTCTCCAATCTTCCATGTTTAGTTATTTGACTTACGAAACCTATTTCTTGTCATGGGCTCGCAATTATACCCACCAGGTACTTCTTAGGGGGGCAATGCGTTGGGCGAGCCAAGCCGCGCCAGCCCAAAAAATAAATTAAAGTGGCCCGGGGGTTGGGACAAAGCCACAAAAAGTGGCCCCGTACCTGGTCAGGTCTGGGCTACCTAGGACCGGTTCGCGATCTGGTCCACTCTTAGAGAACATTGGGTTTTGCCTCGATGCCATCATTAAATCGCTACCCTTAAATTATATAACTGACATTGCGATGACAACGACCAGTTATTTAACTTCAACCGAGTCATAGTACGTTATAAGAAGATCCCAGCACGCGTAGCATGAGCCCGAAGGAGCAGATTGTGCAAATATTTCCTTGGTCAAAAGACCTGCTTAGCAGTATTCTTTGGTCCTAAAATTTTGGGATCCGTTTACAGGATTAGTATTTTCAACCCAAAAAAACCTTGGATTTTAAGTTTCTAAAAAGTTGGACCTAATCATGCAAAATTGAGTAGTCCCCAAAGGAGTTTATTCAACGCTGCCACCTCATTAAAAAAGTACGGTTGCAACCAGAAAGAGAAAAAGGATGATTTTACGCCAAAAAAAAAAAAAGTGCACCTTGTAGTATATTATTTTTTTATAAATTATCAAGTATATATAGATCCACCTGATCTTTATGATTCTTGAAGCTTTAACTTTCAAAATTATATCTAAAAAAGACTTTAAAGCGATGAAACAAAATTTCAGCACTGAAACTACATATTTTTAATGATTTTGTAGGTGCAGCCTACTTTTTTCCATATTATGCCGCCTAATGTAGCATGTAAGCAAGCCTATATGTGTGAGAGACAGGAAACTATTTTGATAGGGTTGCTATTTTATCAAAATAAGTAAAGCCTCACTTTAAAAGTTCTAAAAAATTATAGTTTGGGCATAGAAAAATCTTCAAATCAATCATCTCAATCTCCATTGTGGTTGTGAAAAGAAAAAAAGGATTTTCAACCTTAAAAATAGTATATATTGCAACACATTGTCTATTTTGCTTTGAAATAAGTGTTAACAAATTCACGGGTCCATAGAATTTTTTGAGCTTCATCATCAATGTTGAAAATAGATTTTAGAGCGATCATAAAGGTTTCTAATGCCCAAAGTACTTTTCGAAAGAGAATTTGAGGTGAGGCTTTACTTTGTACCCCTGGAGCCTAAGCCTCATAGAAACTACATTTAAAAAATAAAACGAATGATGTGCTATTGCTTCTGAGAATATGCTAGAGCCAAAAAAAAAAAAAAGTGCGAGAAATCTGACGTGGAGAGAAGATTAGCCATTGCTGATGTGAGAAAGGAGAGTGTTTCTGTTTTTTTTGAACATCAAAAGGACTGTTTCACAAGGACAAGTTACCCCAAGAAAAACGGTTTGCCGTTGGTCCTATCTACACTTTCTTTTTTTGAAAGTTGGTTTGCCGTTGGTCTCGTCACCAAGTAAGAGTGAAGTTACAAATCCAAGAGATAGAAAGACTTTCTTAAAGGGTGTAGTTTGTACAAGGCTGATGCCCTCAACAATCAAAGTACATCACACCTTTGAATAGTATTCGAAAGATCTTTTTCAGTACAGGAATTTTTTGTGATGACCTAAAATTTTATATTCATCTCTAATTATAAAATATAAACCTTAAAAAATAGTACAAATTAGTATTTAAAAAAACAGATAAGTGACTCGAATAAATCGTACCCATACCCATGTCGGATCGGGGGAATCGATGGATCGGATCGGAAGAATTGGTGGAATTGATAATTTTTGTCTCAATTTTTTTAAAAATAATTCAAGAAAAAACTATTCATCCTTTTTTTTTTTTCCGCTTGACTTGGTGAAAATGCGAAGAATCGTCAGAATCGGCGGTTCCCTGAAAAAATTGGCGAGTCAACTATTTTGAATCGACCGAATCCCGGTTTTTTACCGGATCCGAGACGGTGGTGGCGATTCTCGATCTAGATCGCCCGATTCCAAATCGGGTCACCAATTTTTAAATCATTGGTGCAGATCAAGCAGAACTAGCAACACTCAATTTTTTTTGAAAATTAACGGTTCAAATAATGCATTACAAGATCCACTAGTTTCAAGACTTGAAATCTACTTTTTCTCATTCGCATACATCTTGAGATTGAGATCAATTTGAAGATTTTTGAGGCATGAGAACAATCTTTTTTTAATGAATTTTTGAGATACGTTTTACTTTGATTGTTTAAGACCTCACACTTAAAATAAAATTTCTCCTTTCTTAAATCCAAGAAGAGAGAGAAAGAGTAATTATAAAAGTCTCTCTCTCATAAGGGCTAATAATGATGGTGTGTCGGATATCTCGATTGTCCCTTGCTACACAGCGTACACGTGAAGCCCTACACAATAATTGTCTTGATGACTTCCTTATTCGTTTGAAAGACTCACTACCAAACAAAACCCCCAACTTTTCATAATAAGTTTGGTTTAAGTTAAGTTGCGTATGATGCCTCACGCTAAATCATTCCTTGTGCAAATTCTTCCATCACTTTCGAAGTGTCCAAATGTTTAACTTCAATTTCTCTCTCACATGGTGATAGGAACAAGCCAACTCTTTTTTAGGGGCAATGGAACAAGTTCTCTCTCTTAATATCTAGGTCTTTCCCTTGCTCAAGTCTGTCCCTCCCCTTCTATTCTCTGCCTCTCTTTCTCATACGTCAAGCCGCAGGCCATTGTGGGCGAGGAGGAATTTGATGCTTTGACGATATGGTTTGTAGCCACGTGCTTTAATCCTCTCAGCGACTCTGTCTTCATAAAACTTTTTTCCGTGAGGACTCTCAAAAAAGGAACATTTCTCTCTTCAGCCATTTTGAGTAGAGAAGATATGGAGGTTTGTGTTGTATAATAATGGAACGTGAGCGAGAATGGATGTCATAATTGAGGTTTATATAAAATTGTAACATTAAAGTGTAGAATTAAAGATACACCTAAAAAATCTACCTTCAATAAATCCACCTTTTCATTGAATAACAGGTGTGGGAGTTTTTAATCCCAACGTCGAGATACTTCAGTTGCTTAAAAGCTGTCTTCCCTTGTTCATCTCTCTCTCTCTCTCTCTCCTGGTAGGAGCCCTTCTCTATCTCCCAGTTGGAAACCGTCTCTCTCTCTCTAACCAACTGATCCAAATGATCGAAGAACTGATGTGGGCCAACTTGAAGCCAGATACATGCACATGCACTGAAGGTTTAGTAGTTTGCCATGTCCCGGCCCCCAATGCATGCCCATCCATTGAGAGTAAAGAAGCACATGGGTTACCGTCAAACTAGGGGCAATGTCCTATCAACTTCTCTCTTTTCAATGCCACCAGACCTATTTTCTATTCAAACCATCATATATGACAAATCTCTAACTAGATTTTCCAACAAAAGTAACCCTCTCTCCCTCTCTCTCTCTCTCTCTCTCTCTAGGCTCCCTCACTCCATGCATATATTGTTGTCTATAAATTCATGGCCCATTGGAGAACTGCAGAGAGAGAGAGAGGTTAGTGGGAAATGGCTGGTGATTCTAAGTTGAATGGAATTGAAGTGGTGGAATGTGGGTGTTGCAAAATGAGAGAGGAGTGCACTGAAGGTTATATAGGAGAAGTTCGAGAGAGGTTTTGTGGGATGTGGGTTTGTGGGTTATGCGAAGAGGCCATCAAAGATGAGCAGGTGAGACTTGGGATCGGCGTCGAGGAGGCATTGCAGCTTCATGGATCACAATGTGAAAGGTTTGCTGCATCCAAACCGTCTCTTCGACTTGCAAGCTCTATCCTTGTACTCTTTAAGAAAATTATGGCTTCTCATGCTCCCATTGGAGCGAGCCTCGGTTTTGAACCAAGAGTAATAAAGATAATGTTGACAGTTAAATCCTCTCTCCCTCTCTCCCCCCCCCCCCCTTTTCTCTCTCTCTCACACACACATTGTATAAAGGCCGATGTGATGGTGTATGAGAGGGGTTATAAAGTGTTCTCCTATGTAGTTTTTTCTCGCAACCCTCACAGAGTCCATCACTAGTCACTAAATGTACAAAGTAATGATCAATCTCAAAGTCGATGATCCATTATGCCCGCCAAGTAAAAAATCAACATGCCACTAAAATTTGATAATTTAACTAAACCAATCCAGTAAATGAATCAACAGTTAGTTCACGTAGCAAAATAAACCTCAATATACCAAGTGGTGAAGCGGAATCACATAAAGTGAGAACCCATGATGATATTGAACAGTCACCTGCTCAAGTCAGCTCGATCAAGACCCTGGCGATTTCTGATGCTAATGTCCAAAAATCAGTCTAGCAAGCTCAAGGTCCCATGCGGCTACGGCCAACCACTCCCCACCCTGGCAGGGTTGTCGATTAATGATGGAATTGGCTGAGTAATCTCTGACTCGGTGGATTCTGTGGCTGACTCGGGCTTGGGACCCTGGCAAATCCAAGAGCCGTGGTTGCAAACAGTGATATTGACTATTAATCCTCATCGACCATCCTTTTATTTTTCTTTTTTCCTCTTGATTTATTTTCATTTTTTATTTGGCCCAGCCCGTCCAAGCCCCAGCCTACTACAGCCCTGGCCTTGAAAGGGCTAGGGCCGAGCCAGGGCCGGGGTCTTTTTGGCCCGGCCAGGGCTGGGGCCGGCCCCAAGGGAACCAGTACTCGGCTATGGCCAGGGGCGCCCTGCCCAGATCCAGCCCGTTGCCATCCCTACATTCAAGGGGTATAGAGGATTTTCCCATACAATAACATGATCGCCCATTCCTAACCTGAATACTGGTTTTCAAACAGAAAGAAAAGCATAAGAAAAGGATCAATAGTGGTTTCAAACAGAAAGAAAAGCAAAAGAAAAGGAAGCCTTGAGAAACTTGCCATCCTTGACATAAAACAGATGACACATAAAACAGACTACATAAACTTGAGATAATATAGATGACCATACATGAGATGATAGTCCAAGTCCTGACCTTCACTCTGTTCATAAACCTTGAATAAGGGATGCTTTATACATAAAACTTGAGTCTACTTAGTTTTTTTCAAGAAAAACAAAAACAAGACAGAAAAAAAAAGACAAACCAAGGTCCTTTACCATGTTCATATGGTGCTATCAGAATTTGCCAGTCACAAGGGCAAGGAGGAAGGTGCGGTAGTGGCCTGATGTCTCTGAGTGGATGGCGTCCTCCAAATGCTTCTTGTATTTCTTTTGATATTCAGCCTTGATGTATTGCATATCAATCTCAGCTCTTGTCACAACCACACGAATGAGAGTAGTGTCACGAGTCCCAAACCCCTTCATTGATTCGTGCAAGACCTATGAGATACAAAAGGCAGCCTTCTCATGAACATGATAGAAGAGAGAGCAGAACCAAACTCACTAAAGGAAAACAGTGAATGAGACTAGATGAAATCAGTGGTTATGGCACATGAGTTGAATTTTAATGCTTAAATCTTCAAATTTTGAACCTTCTCCCATGAAAACAAAAGGAAGGCTGGTTTTTTCCACCGTCCACCAAATCATTATAATCGGCAATCTTGAATGACTTTCACTAGATGAGAAGAGTGGCGATGGCCAGCCTTGTCATACGAAAACCACAAGAAGATGGGGGGCTTTTCCATCTACATCAACAGGCTTAAAAATTGGTAGCATTGATTAAGACATAACAAGGTTACCTCAACCTTAGTCAAGCCACTGATAAGATTGCTGAACAGTGGAAATCAACCTCAAGCCCGGGTTCCGCCAGGCCCGGAAATTATATAATTATATACGATATAATATATAAAAATTTATTTAATATTCAAAATATCTATTTAAATTTACAAGCTGCGGTATGCCTAGCCACAGGTCTTATCAAGTGGCCTGAAACTAGGCTCAGCCCAAAAGCCCCAGGCCTTTCTAAGCCTGTTAGCAGCCTTGGTACTGATAAAGGCCTTGGTACTGATAAAGGGAAGCGTCAATCCCTATTGCTCAACTAACCCCAGAAAAGCAGAAGGAAAAAAAAAAAAAAGTAAACACAAGGGATTGTGTACCATAAAACCATTTAATTCTGGTATAAGAAAATTACAATCACCTGTGGCCATCGTCCGGCGAAACCAATTGTCTAAAGGCCACCTACCGAATTTCTCATTTAATCTTCCGGCGAAACCAAATGCCTAAAGGCCACCCACCGAATTTCTCATTTAACAACTAGGGGTGGGTGATGAGACTTTCTTATACCATAGGCAAATGATCTCATCATATATTTTCCATAACGGGACAAAAAGGCTTCAAAGTTAGAATACTAGATTACCCAAAAAAAAAGAAGAAAAAGTGGGCTTTTGCTGCTCTCTCTCTCTGGGTTAGAATCCCCATTTGGGTTTCTCCATATCTATCGATTTATTTCTCCTCTCTCTCTCTAACTTTATTAGCCTCTATCGTCAACCACGATGAGAGGCGAAAGAAAGCCATGTCTACATAGCCAACCTTGCTGAGGAGGCTAAACACTCACGACTTTTTTTTGTGGCATTTGTTGCTCTATTTAATATTTATAGGTACTTTTTGAAATGGGTTTGCCCTAGAATATCTATTATGTTTGGCAAGAAATTAATTTTCTGGTGATCTCCTGTGTTTGCAGGGAAGGAATCAATAAAACTTGTAGAAAATGTATAGCTTAGGGCTTGAAGATCTAAGGCTTCAGGTCCCGATATTTCTTGGTTATTAGACAATACCAAAATCGCCCAACCCCAGTGGCAATTCAGCTCCGAAATCTCGCTCCAACGCTCAGAAGGATCTTAAAAGGAATCTCTTTAAATTTTTGGTTCTCAATCCCCCCGTTAGAGATCTTAATTCTAACAATGGCACCACTGAACTCGAGAAAGGGTGTTCTAGTGCACCACATTGCACTGCACTATATGACGCAAGTCTAGCCGCTCAAGTGTAGCAAATACAAGACCTTATCCCCGCAGGTTTGCAGTGCACCACATTATATAATGTCATTAAGCATGATGCAACATATTGGCATTACTGAATTTGAATACGGCAGATAAACCTATCAACAAGCTAGTCTAGTGGCTAGTCAGAAAAAGATCCCCAAAAAGTTGAGATCAAGATCCCTAAATATTCATTCTACATAAGGTGATCCCTACCATAAGGATCATTTAGCCTTTCACAACCCCCGGACTTCCAATTTGTAGATCGCTCCCATTACCAACAACTATAGATCAGTGTTTTAAAATGCGGGATGCGGCCCTGATGCGGTGGGGGGCCGATGCGGCCCGGATGCGAGTGCATCACGATGATGCGGTCAATAAATGTAAAAAAATTCTAAAATTTTTAAAAAAATTCCATATTTTTTTTAAAAATAAGTTAATGCATAGAAAAAAATATGAAGGTGATATATGTGATCGTAGGTATTTTAGTTTAATGATTAACTTCAAAAATATTAATTGTCGGAGATTTTGCATCCAATTATACACCCATATAAGTATTTCCACGGAGCAAGCATATCACACAATTTCTATCTTAGGGATTTTTTAGTTTAGCATATGTCCAAGCCGGTTCCTTATTACTAGAAGATTAGGAAGAAGACATTGCCCCAAAAATATGTATAATAGTAATATTGTACAAGAAGGAATAAAAATTTACCGACTCTGTGAAGTACTGCTCGATTTCTTTACGACATTTGAAACCCCCAATTTTTTATCACAAATTCATCCTAACATCTCCAAATCAACAATCAAAGGCATCCAATGAACATCCAAATATCAAACAACCGTCAAATCGAAGATTTCGATAAAAAAAAAATTCCGCCTAAATTTTTTTTTACCTCGATTTGATGCAAAAAAAAGCCACAAAAGTGGCTGAAAATCTTCGTTTAGGGCCCCTAATACCCCCCCAATCAGTTTCCCTAACATTTGGATGGTAAAAAAAACCATTTTGCCCCTCCCCGAAGGGCAAAACAGAAAAAAAAATTGATGGATACTGTAGCAATGGGATGCGGTGCGATGCGGCCTATGCTACGATGCGGCCTGACGCAGCGCATATGCGACCGCATCTGTCAAAAGCGCATATGCGTCTGTTTCTGATGCGGATGCGAGCGCATCCCGTATGATGCGACCGCATTTTAAAACACTGCTATAGATACACCCTTGATCTAGGGTATTTATGGATGTTTAAAACCATACACCATATTTTAAGAAGCCTTATAGAAATGCTACGACTTTTAAAGAACTAACTGTTTTCCCAAGTTTCACGTTAATATGGTTTAGGTCCATTTTGGCCCTTTTGCTCATTTTGTCCTTTCTGACCTAGTCATCCATATTCCTAGATCTTCCCAAGTTCGCCAGCTAGTTTTTGCTTGCCATGAAAGCAATGGAATTCAGGAAGAGTAAATAATTTAAAGTATTTTTATTTCGAGATATTATTTATTCTTAATATTTTGTGCTTCTTAATTATAAGACTCTGTGAGTCAACTTCGGACTCACCAGGCCAGCTGCCCCAAGCCAGGCCTGAGTCCAGTTTTCAAACACTGCTAGATCCATATGAACATGGCCATTATATGATCCTATGTGCAGTCCAATCAAATGATGGATAGTAATGGAGAGACCGGGACTTACTGCTTGGGTGATGTCATCTTCTAGTCAATCCCACTCTCTCCAGCACCCATTTTTAAGTGGTCCAAAGTATCATAGCATTATTTTGTGCACATGTCTTACAAGATTCTTAAAACGGCAAATGAAAGAAATGGGTTCAAGCAGTATATGCATAAAAATATACCAGTATAAGATGCATACCTTTGCAAAGTACCTAAAAGGATTCTCTGCACACTGTAGAATGGTAAGAAGACCAAACTCAAACAGTCCCGATGTCTCGCTCTTTACTGCCTGCCAATATTAACACGAGTATTATAGTGATGTCAAGCAAAACAAAGAAAAATTTTTGAGTGACCAAGGATCTTACCTTTTTGAGTTTCTTCCCATACATCCTACGGTAAGATGATGCAACAGCTAGTAGATGTGCCTTGCTTCTTTCGCTGAAAATGCATATGAAGGTTTTCTCATCAGTCCCCAGTCTTCTTTCTCCAGCTTTGTAAAGATCTGTGGCATCCTTATCTGCCATGGCTTGATCAAACTCGGGGCCTTCGTAACGTGATCCCGCTATGTATGTCAGAAGCAACTGAAAAAAATATCAGGTTTTGCATAAGCAAAATTACAATCTCTCTCCTCTTTCTCATGCAAATTGAAGAATATCTGAGGATGCACAACGAGGTCTCTAAAGGGAAGTGGAGAACCTGAGAGATTTTGGGGTCAATTATGATAATGGCCCTCCTCTTCTACCCCCTCCCCCTCCCTCTCACCCATCCAACCTCCTTTACCAGGTCTCCCTCCGTCAGTTAAGGAGGTCCCTCTCTGCATCCCTTTCCCAATGAAGGTCCCAATGTGGAACATACGTGGCCTTGGCCACCCCCACAAAAGGAACGCGATCCGAGATCTTTACGCTAAACACTCCCCCTCCCTCCTGGCTATTAGTGTTACCAAACTTCCCTCTCCCACCCTCCCTGATATCAAAAGCATCTAGGGATTCAGGCCTTGCAGGTGGATTGCCCTAGACGCGATAGGGGCCTCGGGTGGCATCTAGATCCTTTGGGACCCGACCCTTCATGACCTTCTCGATAGTTCAGTTGGAATTTTTTCAGTCATAGTTAGACTGTCTAGGCTATCAGGCAGATGTAACAAGAAGTGCACAACAAGTTTATGGGCCTAATGCTGAGAATCTTAGGCCCTCCTTTTGGGTAGAATTGTAAACCATCTCATCTTCGTCCCCGAGCCTTTGGTGTTTGGGGGGGGGTTTCAATGTCACGCGATGGTCCCATGATCGTAACTCCAATCACTCCATCTCCCCTAGCATGATGCAATTTTCAGATTTCATTTCTCTCAATCATCTCATTGATATACCCTAGGAAAGACCCCAGTTTACTTGGTCAAACCACTCCTTCAACCCCTATCTCTCAAAGCTAGATCGGTTCATTACCTCACTTGAGTGGAACCAGGCCTTCTCGGGTACCCACTCGACTGTTTTACCCAAAACTACCTCTGACCATCGACCCATTCTGCGTGATACCCAAGCTGTCCAGAGTGGCCCGTGACTGTTAGATTCGAATCTTGGTGGATCAAAGAACCCAACTTCTTACATTTTGTGGCAGCCTTGTGGAGCTCTTTCAATATTCAGGGCTGGTTGGGTTTCAGGTGCAACGAAAGTTGCAATTGCTGAAATCCAATTTGAAAACTTGGAAGGTCCAACACCCGAGGAACTTTCGGGCCATGAAGGAGTCTTTGTTTAATCGTGGGACACAAATGAGGAATCCAGACCTTTAGTTCCAGGGGAGCACATGTAGCGTGCCAAGGCCAAATTAGACTTCCAAGCCACCCTCCACAAGGAGGAGGTATACTGGGCACAGAGAGCTAGAGTAAAATCGCTTAAATCAAGTGATTTAAACGCTGGCTACTTCCACAAGATAGCCAATTGTCGAAGACGCGACAATGCCATCACCCATCTTAAGGTCGACAATGTGGTCCTAGACCAACCCCTTCCTATGAAGCAGGCAGCAGTATGCTTCTTTTCCAATCTCTTTACCTCGTGCCCTGGACCGAGACCCATAATGCACAACATTGCCTTCCTTTCCCTTCTTCCTGAAAAAGTGGCTTAGCTGGAACGTCCCTTTTCAGAGACAAATCCTACTGGCACTCAATGACCTGAGTCTCGATCGAGCTCCTGGCCCCGACGGCTACCCTATTGCCTTCTTTAAAACTTTCTGGGATACTATCCGCCCAGACATGTTGGAGTTCTTCTCTGAATTTCACTCTAAAGGTGTCATTAACAAGGCTATGAATGCTATGTCATCGCCCTAGTCCCTAAGATTTAAGGGGCGGAAGAGATTAAAGATTTCAGACCTATAAGCTTGGTCAATAGCTCATACAAAGTGTTGTCCAAAGTCCTAGCTTCGAGATTGAGGGTTGTGCTAAACTCAGTCATCTCCCCCACCCAAGGGGCCTTTGTTAAGGGGTAGACAAATCCTGGATGGGGCTGTAATTGCACACGAATGCATTCACTCTCGGTTCATCTCTAAAACGCCGGGACTAGTTATAAAACTAGATTGGGAAAAGGCGTATGATCATGTCCACTGGGCAGTACTTGATGAGACCATGAGAAGGATGGGCTTTGGGCCGAAGTGGAGAGGGTGGATTAGAGGTTGCATTTCTAGCCCTATCTTCTCAGTGTTATTCAACGGCTCCCCCAAAGGACTTATCTCGGCTACCAAGAAGACTTCGCCAAGGAGATCTTCTCTCACCTTTCCTGTTTGCAATTATGGCCGAGGTCTTCAACATCTCTTTTTTTAGGCTATATCAAGTTGGTCTATTGAGGGGTTTTAAGTCTAATAACCTTGGCACGCATATCTCCCACCATCAATACGCAGATGACACCTAGTTTTCCGCGATGCATCCATTCAACAGGTGGATACCTTACAGCTTTAATTTAAATGCTTTGAGATGGCAACAGGGTTTAAGGAAAATCTCGTCAAGTCCAAGATGATGGGGGTTTGCACTGACTCATCTTTGATTTAGCTCCTGGCTGGAAGGTGGGGTTGCTCGGTGGAGATACTTCCCTTTTCTTATCTTGGTCATCCCCTTTGCTAGGGGATGCCACGAGTTTCACATTGGAGCCATATAGTCGATAAATTTGATCGAAGATTTGTAGGTTGGAAAGGAAGATTCTTGTTCAAGGCAGGAAGACTTCCCTCATCAAAGCCACCCTGGCTAATACTCCTGTATTTCAGATGTCTTTATTTCGTATTCGTATCCCGGACTTCATCAAAGCTACTTTGGCTAATACTCTCGTATTTCAGATGTCTTTATTTCGTATCCCGGCCTCTGTAGCCGCTACGCTAGAGACGATGATGAGGAATTTTTTCTAGTCTAGAGAACATGACAACAAGTATCATCTCATCGCTTGGCCCAAATTATGCCTATAGCCCAAGGAGAGTTGGCGGATTCACAATCTCAAGGCCCATAACAGTGGCCTCTTAGGCAAGTGGGGGTGGAGGTATGCCACACACCCAAATCACCTTCGGAGAGAGGTGATCAAGCATAACTACTGCTATGGGGTCGACCACTGGACTCCCAAATGTAGGACTAATGGAACCATATCCAAGTTTTGGAGATCAGACTTAAGGTGTCGTGAACATTTTTCTGGTTTTATACATTTTCGCCCATTTTTCTGGTTTTATACATTTTTCTGGTTTTATACATATTTTCTGGTTTTATACATTTTCGCCGAAGGGAAGGGTCAAAGATTTTATTTTGGGATGATAAATGGGTGGGTTGTAAACCTTTGCGAGAACAGTTTCCTAATCTCTATCGGTTAGCTAGTGACACCCATTTTTGACTGTGGCTCAAAACTTTGGTCTCGTAGGCTCTCTTCGATCTTGGTCGCCAAATTTCAGAAGGCCCCTCAATGACCATGTGCTTGATGACTTCGAGGCCCTGGCAGCAATCCTCCAATCAATGTTCCTCCCTGTTTTCAGGTGAGGACAGGATCATTTGGGAACCTTCCCCCTCAGGGACTTTCTCAGTTTCTTCTTACTACTCCAACCTTTTGCCCAACCCCATAGCTGCTAGCCCCTATCCCATTGTTTTATCTAAAGCCTGGAACACCTTTGCACCCCCTATAATCCAAGTTCTATAGGGTGTTGACGTTAGACCTCCTCCAAAGGAGAGGAATGCAGTGCCCCAATAGATGTGCATAGTGCTTGGAGGAGGAAACAAATGCTCACGTGTTCCTCCACCGTGGGTTTGCTAAAAGCTTATGGACAGTTGTTTTACGCCTCTTTCAGTACTCGTGGGTCACCCCAAGCTCTGTCCCTAGTTGTTCCAAGCCTACCTCTCTTCGCCTTGGCCTAGGGCAGGATGAGAGCGGTGGAAAGCCTCCATTTCTACCGCCTTGTGGGTGTTATGGATTGAAAGGAATCACATAATTTTCAGAGAAGAGAGATCATCAATAGTGGCATTAGTTGATAAAGTCACGAACTTAGTGGCCTTTTGGGCCTCCAACCACAAATTGTTTTATGACTACCCTTCTACCGACTTCCGTAGGAATTAGTCAAACCTTCTTTTTGTGTCATGTCCCAGAGCTTCACGACCATCTCGGTGGAAGCCACCGGAACCTGGTTCCATCAAACTAAACTTCAATGGCGGCTCCATCAGGAACCCTGCCCTTCGGGAGTTGGTGGTCTCTTTAGGACCAACAAGGGACATATTTTGCTTGCCTTATCCCACCCTATCGGAGTTGCAGACTCTACCCTGACTGAAGCAAGTGCCTTGCTTAAAGGTTTGCAAAGGTTTGACAACAATTGGGGGGTCTACCTTGGTGGTTGAAGGAGATTCCAAGAATGTTATATCGTGGGCAGCTGGTCTTTCTCCTTGCCCATGGCGGTTAGACAATATCTTCGACGAGAAGGCTCACTTGGCGGGAGGTATCTCAATCATCTGGCGCCATGTCTTTTGGGAAGTCAACTCGAATGCAGACTTCCTAGCCAAGGAGGGAGCCTATTCTAACACCCCGGGGCTATCATAGTGTTGTTGTTCCCAAGAGTTGCACCCTAGGGACTAGAACCGTTCTTTTTATCTTTTCTAAGCCCCTCGGGGTTGTATTGGGTTTCCCCTTGGGGAACCCATTTAATTTGTACATTTTGACATTATTTATATAATAGTTATCCTTACTCAAAAAAATATATTTGAGGATGCTATTTGATCTACATAAAAAGATTATGAGTCTCACTCTTCGTCATGGTTCTCCTCTATGATAACATACTACAATGACCACCCTTCAGGGTTTCTTATCTACAGTGCAAGCATAAGAGAACTCAGACTAAACTAAGACATGCATTTGACCTTTTTATGATCACCAGAAGCTTGGAAACCGATATCATGCTCTAGGTGAGTATGAAATTTTGCATGGTAAGCATTCTTAATTAGTTGTATCTGAGAGGAGGTTCGAGAACAAATGATTTCAGTGGCAGCTCCCAAATCAATATTATCACCAGTTAATGCGCTCCTCAATATAGTTGCATCTCGTCCTGCAGGATCATGCATCCATAGGAGAATTGCTTTCTGAAAAAAAAAAATGGAAATAACATGAGACAATTGAAAACAAGGAAGCCGTTGCTCGCAAAAGCACTACCAATCTCAATTTGTGGTGTGCATAAAAATCAAATGAAACGAATATAAACCATGATACTAACATTACACAAGTCTGTCTTTAAAATATTGAAATTCGGATTGCTAAGTTGCGAGAAGATCAAAAGCATATACAGTACCTCAAGATTTCCACTGAGCTCTGAAGCAAGACGATTACTTAGTTCATCATGGTACATGGTCCTATACTCGTGTTGGATGTGAGCACGTTGCATTGCATCACGATGAGCAAGAACATTAATGACTGCCCCAGTGTTGCAGCCAAATCCTGAACATTTTCGTTTATCAGTGAAGACTAAAGATATCACCTAATACTGGATCATCAATGGTGCCTCATGATAATCACTCAGCTGAAGGAACTCTTTATTGGTTGAAAACCCCAGCAAATCATCAATGTAACCAGTCTATTTCTAACTATAATTGAAAAATTATAAAATCATCAGAATAACCAAATTCTATTTCTAAATCTGATGGAAGACTAATACAAACAGCACTATTAATAACAGTACCAAGAACAACAATGACAATATGGAACAAATAACGCACTAACAACATTTAGTGTACTATTATTTCTAATGCAGATGTTGCTGGAGTATAATTTTCATCATCTTCATCACTGAAATTTACATACACAACTAAATTTCTTATTGATATAAGTTACGAACCACAAAAGAAAACAAAACACATTTATCCAGAAGAACTACAACAACCCAACATATATACACATAAAACCTAGGATAAATGTTATTTAGCTACAAGGAAAGATAGCCAGGTGTGCAGCATATGCCAGAATGCCACCACCACAGGAAAAACAAAGTTCCTCAAGCTTGTTTTCCTCTCAGTTGAGAAAAAATTCCAGCTTGGAACCTTGGAAGTAGGATGAAAAGGTCCCTAATACGAGACTTCAGTAATCTACTGAAGAGTACTTGAATGTGGAAAGTGTGATATAACATGGTCAAATGTTAGAAGCACAAGTTTTTGGGGTTTTCTTGAGCATCTTAGACTGATGCTTCTTCTTTCCCTTTTGACATGCCACAATCCAGACACATTGAAATCACAGAACAAAGAAGCCCATGTCACCATCAAAGCAAATTCCTTTTGGCTTAGGAAATTCTAACAAAATCATGTCACCATCTAAGGAAAACCCATTAACATATGAGAGAGAGAGAGAGACCCTCCAAAAGGAATTAGATCACCATGCAAAAACCAGTAACAGGAGAAAATCCAACCAGAAAGAAGCAACAAATTATTTGCTTGATTTCTTTTTCTGATTAAGAACTTGTACCAACAGTAAACTTTGACAAGACAGATTCATTACTTGATTTTTCTTTCTTGATTAAACAAATGTTGCGGAAAGTAAATGAATTTTTCAAGAGAGGTAATATATACATTTTTTGGAAAAGTTCATATAAGGTCGCAACCTTATAGAATTAAGATGCACCTGAACCGGCAAGTCCAGTGGTTCTGCACTGAACCAGCTGGTCCAAATTTCGCCCAATGTCTTTCTTTTAATATTTAAAAATGAGATCCTACCAAGGCAAGGGCTTGAACACTGGAGAACTTGGGAAAGAAAGCATCATGCTACAATCACACACATTGGACTTTGTTGCACAATATCGATGTTCTTTATATGTATCATGTGACATAAGATAATCATAACGTAAAACAAATAAACTCACACGATGCAACTTGAACAAAGAAACTTACCCGAGAAGATAAAAATAAGGGAAAAAAACCCTAATATTTTTGGATTTTTTCTTTCTTTTTTTTTTTCATATTTAATTTTAACCTTTAATGTTATAATTTGTAAGGGATTAGTGAATTATAAAATATGGAAAATAAAGAAATTTGTTGGGTCCAAAATTGTAATTTCTCTTTTTTGTACTTTAGGTTTTTAAATTATAACTTCCATTTGCAAGAACTTTTTTTTTTGTAAAGTCACTAAAACCCAAAACATGAAAATCCAAAAAAGCAAATAGAAATATGTTTAGGGTTTTACTATTTTTTCAATTTTTGGTCTGGAAACTGCACAAAAATATCTAGAAAATCCAACAACAAGAAAGAGAGAGAGAAAGGAAAAACATAAACAAATAAGAAAAATAGAAGTAAAAAAAAAAGGTTCTTTTTTATTTTTTTATTTTTATTTTTATTAAATTTTCTTTTTTTCTTTTTAATTTTCTATATTCTTTTCACTTTTCTATATTCTTTTCACTTTGAATGGTAATAAATTCAAAGAACGAAAAATATGAACTTTTTGTTTTTGTCTTCTTTATAAATTTGAGCTATTGTATTATTAATGAGTATTTCTTTATTGCTTGAAGAGTTATATTTGTTCATAACATTTTTAAAAAAAAAAAATTTGGCTTTTCCATATTTTACTCTATTTTTCCCAAATTTCTCAATTTATATTTTTATTAATTATTTGATTTCTTAGAGTGGTCCAATCAGTGAACTGATCCGATTCGACCGGGCTAGTGCCTTCACTGGTTTGGTCACTAGTTCGGTCCCGACAACATTACGAAGACATCAGGACCAATCTCTAGCAAATGTCAAAGACTGAGGAGACTCAAAATGCAATTGAACCTAGCCAGGAGTCCTAAGTGTAGTACAACCTAATGACTTCACCAAGAAGATTGTTCAGCACATGGTGAGATGGTGTCCGTCAACCAACGACACCTGAGGAAGCTCGACCAAGCCAATTAGAGGAGGAGAATGAGGAACCAAAACAGGCAAGAAAACTGAATCCCAAATACGTGGATGACACATTAGCCGAGGTCAATGACATGTGAGAGTGGACCTCCTACGAAGAGGCACACCGACGCACAGGATGGTAAGAGACCATGGAGGAGGAGATCCTCGCACCATACGTGGAAAACCTTGTTTTTAAGCTAAAGGAGGTAAAACCAATCTCATGTCGATGGGTTTACAAACTGAAGACTCATGCCAACAGGTCCATAAAAGATATAAGACTAGATTAGTTGTTCAAGGATTTTCATAGCAGTACATGATTGACTATGATGAGAATTTTAGCCTTGTAGCCAAGATCATGATGGTACGTGTACTACTTGCATTGGCAGCAAGTAAGTCTCGAAAATTATGGCAAATGGATGTGAAAAATGCTTTTTTTCATGGAGAAGTCAATTGAGACATCTATATGAAGTATCCAAAAGGATTCGAAAGCAAGGATCGACCTAATCATGCCTGCAAGCTAAGGAAAGCCCACTAGGGGTCGAAGCAGGTAATAAGGGCTTGGTAAGGCAAGATTGCTTAGTTATTGTTACAGAATGGATACCAAGCCACACCTATTGATTCAAGTTTATTCGTAAAAGCAAAAAATGTCAATTTTCACAGGGGCTATTGAGAAAATTCACAAAACAAAGAAAACCTATTGGTACAATTTCAAGTGAAGTAGCTCAGGAAGCTCAAACATTTTCTATGACTTGAAAAAGTGCCCGAGTTTAGGAAGGTCTCTTCTTATGTCAGCAGAAATACATAAGAAACCTCTTACAAAAGAACACTATGATCAACTGCGAACAAATCTCAGCAACTATGGAGACTAAATTATGGTCAATACAAGGTATATAAGCAGTGATTCTAAATCCAGAGGTTAATTGTAGTACTGTAATCTGGCAACTTTACCTAAGACAGTTTGGTTGTTTGTTTGGGGCTGATAGTGGAAAAGTTAACAGATAAGTAAAATGTTGTATGCGTTTTTCTCTGAAGTATAGCTTAGTGAGAGATTGTTTTGCAGGAATTCTGACAAAAATTACCATAAAAAAGCCACAGAAATGACATAACATTCAAGGAATGATAGAGACAGGATTCAGAAACTAATCAAAGAAGAAAACTTTGTGCCGTATCCATAAAAATGACAAAGAAAATAGAAGAAAGGGTAGAATGGTGCATTCACAAGCAAATAAAACCAGATAGTAGGTAACTAGCGAAAGAAAAGAGGATTTAAAGACCAAACTGGGAAAGAAAACCTAATATAAAATCCGCATAAATAAAAATAGGAAATGAGAAAAAAGTGCAAGGATTATCCATAAACTACCGATAAATTCTACATAGCATTCATAAAGAAAAGATCATTAGGATTATATCATTGAAGAAATAGTAAAAAAATAAAATAAAGAACAATACAGGACAATTCAGGGAGAGATCAGAGTGAAAGCAATAGAAAACGGATTGAGATATAAGGTTTGGGAGAAATTGTCAGAAGAAATTCAGAAAGGTCAGAAAATATAAAGAATTCATAAGGCAGGAAGATGAACACAAAACTAGACAGAGAACTAAACGAAACTAGATAGAAGCCAAACGAAACTAGATAGAGAAATTAAAAGAAACTACAGAGAGAAATCAAACGAATTAAGAGAGAGAAACTACAACAGATTCTCAGTTCCACACCTTTGAAAGCTCGGTGGAGTTCTATGGCGTCTTGATTTGGAGAGACAGGCACAGGTGGAACGGTAAAAGTAGCCATTGAAGCTCCAGAAGCAAGTAAAAACCCTAAAAACTGAGAATCACCTAAATCCTTCCACTACGAATCCAAACCTCGGAACAAAGCCCTCTCTCTTCTGAGAAAATGAATCAGAATGCTGATATTTTATAAAGCCGCGTAGCCTACCGAATTTGAAGCTCTTTTTTTCTTTAAGAGATGAGTAGAAAACCAACGGACAAATAAAAAACAGACGCGCACGAAATCAAAGTAGTTTCCCGTTGGTAAAGATGGTACGAATATCATTTATTTTAATATTTTTTTCTCTTGGTGCGTGTAATATTTATTATTTGTATAAACCCAGAGGAAAATTTAATATTTGAATCTTCCTATCAAAGGGCAGGGGAAATTAGAACGAGAAAAACAAGGGAGAGGAACAAATGGAGCCGCATGCGAATTATACCGTTTTATGCCTCACGTGATAAGTATAAAGTTTCTATGAGCCCCACGCCTTATAAAAACAAAATAAAGCCTCACCTCAAATCTTTCGAAAAACACTTTCCGCAACAAAAATATATGGCTCCAAAAAATCAATTTTCAACCCTCAAGAGAAAAATTTTGAGACTCATAAAATAATATAGATCTTGCAAATATGTGAACCTTATTTTTAGTATGAAATGCATTGTTTAAATAATTTGTTACAATATATACCCATTTTTAGAGTTTGAAATCCTTATTTGTATTCACAACCATTATGTTCAAGCCGAGATAATCGATGTAAACTTTTTCAGTTCTTGAATTGCAATTTTTTTGTGAGTTATATGGTGAGGTTTCAAGGAATTTTCGATGAGTTATAAGGTGAGGTTTTAATTATTTTAATAGGTCTGCAGTCAAACCATTTTCCTTCGGTAAATAGAAATGCCGCGTAGCTCTCTTTCTCTCTACAAGAAACAACGCGTCACTCTCTATATTTCCGTTGGGGCAGGCTTCCGAAGCATCAGATATGGGAGGGTTCCTTAGCTAGAATAACTAAATTAACCACAATTTAATTTAAGGTATTAATAAGATCATTTAATCTTGACCATTAGATGTGGAATTAGATCGTTTCATTTATTCTATTGACTAAGCTCAAACTTTAAAAGAAATTTTTTTAAACTTTATAACCCAACCAAACAATATGTGAAATTAGATGGCTACATTCATTTTATCGGCTATGCTCAAACTTCAAAGGAAATTTATTCGAACTTTATTACCCAACCAAGCTATTTGATTTCACATCGGATGGTTGAACATAATTATGATCACCTCGTATAAAAAGTAAATGGTCTCGTCGTATACAATCTTTTTATATAAAGGGTGTGCTTTTTATACAATCCAATTAAAGCGTACTTCCAAATTTTATCATTATATCTAATTATAAAACTTTAAATTCTAGTTAAAATCAAGTATATCTATAAACAAACGAAAATCTTAAAAATTGACGGTCTAGATAATGTGCTGAAATATGCACTATTTTTTAGACTCATAATCTTTTTTATATATAACTCGATGTCAAAATGATCAATTAGAGGGTTTCTCAACATTAAAACGGCCTTTTCCGATGGATTTTTTAGATGCATATTTAATTTTACATTTTAAAATCGCAACCTTATACAAATTTTTTCTTTATATAAAGTTGCAAGTTTATACAAACTATTTCCTTATATAAAAAGGACAAGGATCTTTATCCCAACCCTCCCCACTCCTATCCAATTAACCATAGTCGCCTCCCTTCCACATAAAGGGCATCTTTTCTCCAAGGGGCCATTAGGCAAGAAGAAACAATGGAATTCTTTTTAGGAAAATCTTTCGACAGGACTGGAACCCTGCCAAAATAAGTAAATCCTCCCACCAAATCTCGTTGAAAATCATGGATTTATCCTCATCTTTGATATGAGTCTTCTCAAAATCACTCGACTCCTCCTTCCCATCGACTTGCTTCTTATTTTTTTCCGCCTTTTTCTTATCAATAAATTCTTTGAAAACCACCCTAATCGGAACGTCAAAGTCCATCCCACTACCGGTCAGTATTGAGGCAACCATGTGCTCTTCCAAATTGTCCTGAACCTCCTCCTCTGGATTAATCACTAGAATCTGAGGGTTTTCATCACTCAGATGAAATAAAAGAGGTCTATCCTCCTTACGAATAACATTTAGACGGGGGTAGACATCCACTTCCACCAAAGCTAACCTAAGGTCCTGAGCCAAAACCTCAGCATGCCTCCAAGATCTTCCACAGCGTCAGGGCACAAATTCCCCTTCCTCCAAGACCAATTGCTCTTCAACTTCCTCAATCATCACAATAGCCAAAAGATCGATCGCCAAATGATCAAAAGATGGCCTAGGATGCGAACGATTCTTGCTAGGTACATGATGGTGCTTAAGAGGATACGTTTTCCCCAGCAACACAAACACCGCTTGTAGCACCAGAGACGTGCAAAGACAATGGGCAAAAGCACCAAGGCAGAAACAAGGAATATGTTTCGTACATTGTAGCCTGAACCCACAGCCTAAGCACAAGCAAAAGGGAAGAAGGCTTTAGGGGAAGATGAAGGAGGTGACCTTCCCTCTTCCAATCGAGCCAGCCAGCGTGAACACGTAATCTTCCCTGGCCTCCGGAACTTGTGCCTCGAATCCTGATGGCAGAGATACACGGCCTTCCCTACATGGTTTGAACTTATCGAGAGTAGGAGAGACCAACGTCTCCGAATTTTCAAATTTTGAATTTTCACTTTCCCTTACTAAAAATTCCTATCACGACGGCTATTTTTTATCTTTGGCAGCATCATTTTTTT